AAGGCAGGTCACTGGCCATGTATGGGTGGACTTTCCTTGGGTCAGATGGCTTCCACTGATCCAAATATCCTGGGCTGGGGAATTTTATTTATGTGAGAGGAGGAGGTTTCTACCAGAAGCAGATGTGGGTGGGGCAGGAAGCTATTGGTATTTTTAGTATCTCCATTGAAAGATGCTGAAAGATGGAGGCAATGGAGTTTACTCCCAGAAATTTGTGAATCTACTTAAACTTATTCTATTCCCTGTATTAGAAGGAGCCTATTTAAAAGGTTCTGGTTTGGGATTAATGATAGAGATGTGAGTTTTGCTCTCAAATATACTCTAGAACCCTGCTACTCAAAGGGTGGTCTGTGAACTAGCAGCATCAACATCACTGTTAAAAGCCTGTTAGAAATCAGAGGCCGGGCGCGGTGGCTCACACCTGTAATCCCAGCACTTTGGGAGGCTGTGGCGGGTGGATTGTCTGACGTCAGGAGTTCGAGACCAGCCTGGCCAACATGGTGAAGCCCCGTCTCTACTAAAAATACAAAAATTAGCCAGGCTTGGTGGCAGGCGCCTGTAATCCCAGCTCCTTGGGAGGCTGAGGTAGGAGAATCACTTGAATTCGGGAGGCAGAGGTTGCAGTGAGCCAAGATCGTACCACCGCACTCCAGCCTCAGGGACAAGAGCGAGAGACTTCATCTCAAAAAAAAAAAAAAAAAGAAAGAAATCAGAATCTCAAGCCTCATCCTAGGCCTACCAAATCAGAATCTACAGTTTAATAAGATTTCCAGGTGATTTGAATTCACATTAAAGTTTAATTATGGCTCTAGGATGAATTGGTATGGTTTAGGCCTCCTAAAAGTTACTGAAGACTTGCACTTGAAATCTTCTAGTAGTAGATTGTAGCTATGCAAGAACCAATTGATAAATTGTCAGAAATTTTGAGTTGGTTAATTTTATGTTTGGTGGCTTGAAGTCACCTACTGTGGGAGTATTTACACCATGGAAATTGATAAATGGTACAAATTCGTTTCTTTTATACTGGAGAACCAGTTGTTAAACTGTTACCAACATACCACTGGACAGTTCTAAATCTCCTAACTCAATCTGCTATTAAACAAATCTTCTAGGGGCTTTTGGACATAAAAACTGCCATGTATGGCGAACAAGACAAAATGAGTTCCAGTCTTCCATTTACTGAACTTTCAGCCTTTTGACTAAAAAAACCATTTTCCTAGATAGTCATTTCTTTATGGGAAAAAAAGATCTGATTCTGAAGTAAGCACAAGGGGGAAAGGGAATCTAGGAGCTGGTAATACTTAAGACCCAGATAGGCAGACAGACAGGCATTGGAAATTTTCTCAGCTGGCAGGTGGACAGTTTGGAGTTGAAACCCAGGCATAGAATAGCAGTTTGTATGTAGAGAGGAAGAAAATAAGAGTGGGTGGATTCTGGTTCTGGAGACATATCCCATGAGGAATGTTTATAGTCTATATTATATTGACCATAAAAATTTTAAACAAAACAACAGCTCCTCCCCAAGTTAACGTTAGGTATAAATGCAAATATTTCATGGTATTACATAGGGAGTAGTTTTCAAAGTATGGTCACTGGGCCAGTAAATCATATCTCCTGAGAATTTATTATACTCACAGGCCCCCACCTCAGACCTGCTGGATCAGAAGCTCCGGGGGTGGGGCCCAGTAACCTGAGTTTAACAAGCCTTCTGAGTGATTCTGATGCACATTACTGAAATAGGACATGTCTTGGAGTTCCTTATTTTTGTCTATAGGAGAATCCATTTTCAACTTGAACCCCAAAGGGAAGTGACACTTCTTGCAAAGAAGTTTCCAGCTCAACTGGAAGATGGCTGAAGAAGGCAGAGAACACAGATCAAGAAAGTTACAGGGCTAGATAAATATTTATTAGCTTTTCCCAGGGAAATTAGCCACGCAGGCTGGCAGCTGGCATTTTGCCAAGACTCCTGGAAAGTATAAACCTTCCTAGAAATCAAAAGTTGCATTTTAAAGTGAATTTTAAATGCATAGTACAGTCTAAAGGCCTTCTGCAAATACATCCTTGTACATATGGGAATAAGAACAGCATGGATCTTGTTAAGAAATAAGCAGATATTGGAAGAAGGAGTACTAGAACAGCTTATTCATTTTGCTTTTCTGGTTCAGAGCTCTCATTGGTTCTTTAATAATGACACTTAATATTTTTTGAGTGCTTACTCTGTGCCAAGTACTTCAGTAAGCACCTCAGTAAATTATATTTTTAGCCCTATATCAGGGAAACCAAGGCCCAGAGAGGTATATAAATTTGCCCCAAGTCACACAACTACTAAGTGATAATACTGGAATTCAAACCTAGGCAGTTTGGCTCCAGAGCACAGCTGCTTAACCAAAATGCTTTATTACAAGCTTATCCAACCCACAGCCTGCCAGCCACATGCGGCCCAGCATGACTTTGAATGCGGCCCAACACAAATTTGTAAACTTTCTTAAAACATTATGAGATTTTTTGATTTTTTTTTTAAGCTCATCAGTTATTATTAGAGTATTTTATGTGTGGCCTAAGATAATTCTTCTTCCAATGTGGCCCAGGGAAGCCAAAAGACTGGACATTCCTGCTCTATTACCTCTTTTTAGTGAGAAGAAACTCATTATGTACTAAATATTTACAGGCTTGGAGTTCCCATTTCAGAGTATGGATTTTTGTAGTCTTTATAAAGTCCTTTTGTTGTTTTTATAAAGTCTCAGGCTAAGGACGGGCGCGGTGGCTCACGCCTGTAATCCCAGCACTTTGCGAGGCGGAGGCGGGTGGATCACGAGGTCAGGAGATCGAGACCATCCTGGCTAACATGGTGATACCCCATCTATACTAAAACTATAAAAAATTAGCTGGGCGTGGTGGCGGGCGCCTGTAGTCCCAGCTACTCGGGAGCCTAAGGCAGGAGAAAGGCATGAACCCGGGAAGCAGAACTTGCAGTGAGCCGAGATCACGCCACTGCACTTCAGCCTGGGCGAAACAGCGAGACTCCGTCTCAAAAAAATAAAAATAAAAATAAAGTCTCAGGCTAAGGAATCTCCTTACGTATTGTTACATACAAAACTGGAATCTGGATCCTACCTAATGCCATCGAGTTCTGGTGACCAGAGTGGGCAACAGGTAAGCTGTACCTGTACAGGACATTACTTTAATTAGGCTACCACTATAAGCATACTATATGGTATGTAAGCATACTATATGGTAATAGTTTCAATATAGGATGTTTAAACTCTCTTGTTATAACAGCAGACATAAATAAGTCTATAAATGAGGCCTGCTGTGTTGGTTCACACCTGTAATCCCAGCACTTTGGGATTGCTTGAAGCCGGGAGTTTGAGAGCAGCCTGGGCAAAAAAGCAAGACACCCCACACTCCCCGCTGTCTATAAATAAAAATAAAAATAAAAATAAGTTAGCCAGGTGTGGTGGTGTGTGCCTGTAGTCCCAGCCCCTTGGGAGGCTGAAACATGATCACTTGAGCCCAGCAGGTGAAGGCTGCAATGAGCTATGATCTTGTCAGTGCACTCCAGCTTGGGTGACAGTGAGATCCTGTCTTGAGAGAAATAAAGAAGTCCACAGATGGGGGCCAACTGATCCCAGCTGTGGACTGTGGAAAGGAAACGGATATAGGGTCTAAGGACCAGCACCTCTAATCTGAGTGTTTGTTTTTGTCTGAAATTGACTAGGTAAGCTTGCTCCAATTCTGGTATTTACTCTCAAATTGAATTAGTTTTTTTCATTTATGCATAGCCAAGTACACTGCTTGACACATGGCAGGCACTCATTTATTTGTGAAAAGAAGGGAGGATGAGAGGGAGCAAGGGAGAGAAGGAAAAAGGTTACAAAGATAGATTTAAGTTCTTCGAATTTTTTTGCATAAGTCACAAATTGTTGAAGAATCTTTGAAGTAACTGCGTAGGTGTTAACAAGACAAGGCAATACATTAGAAATCTTATTTTTTATGTAGATGAGTACTATGTATAATTATGACATAAGGCATCTGGGAAATGCCTTTGATCCAGTCCATCTTCCTGTGGGCAGCTTCACTGAAGCAAGTTAATTTTGCAGGCTTGCCATTCTAACTGAGTCACTAATTCATGTATGCATATATTCATTTATTCAGCAAACATTTACTGAGAGCCTCCTATGGGCCTGGCACTGAAGTATGTGCTGAGGTTACAAAAATGAGTAAGACGTTTCTATCCATAAAAAGCTCAGACTGGTGACAAGAACTGATATATTGTGGTCATGGCTGCACAACTTTTTGAGTATACTAAAAACCATTTAATTGTACAATTTAAATTGTTAGGTTGTATGGTATGTAAATTATATCTCAAAACTGTTTAAAACAAACAAACAGCCTGAGGCGAAATCTTTAAAAAGTTATCTAGGTGATTTAGGGTACTGTACACACTAAGCGGAGAAGATAGAATGAACCAAGTTATGGAGGTGAGAAACGTGTGTGTGTTGTGGGGGAGGTAAGCTGGGAAGTGATAAAATCCGTAAACAGATTTGTTTTAGATAAACCACACTGACAGCTGTGACGTAATGGAAAGTACACTCATTGTTTGTTTTTTTTTTTTTTTTTCCATCAGAATGACTTGTGCGTGGGTCTTGGAGCTGCCATTTTAAAACTAGAAATGTTTTATAAATGTCAAGTATTATTATTCAATTGATCCTAATGGCAAGTCTACTCGCTTGCCAGCAGGGGGTAAATGTAAAGATTAATGTAAGATTTTAAAGCTAAGGTTGATCTTGCGCTGAGAGAAAGTTTGACAATTAACAAAGAAAGTTTGTCAAAGAGTTGGACACCTCCCCTGGGTAGCGGCGAAACGCCTAGAGAAATTTTTAAAGAAGTCTTTCCAAGGCCGGAAAAGTGGCGGAGGAAGCTAGTGGGCTTCAGGGTTTCTGTTTTTCAAGATTTTACGTTGGGTATTAAGTACTCTCACAGCCTGTTAAAACTGTCGCTCTGAGTACACTTGCACGACCAAAGAAGAAAAAGAGGAAGAAGAAAGGATTAAAATAATCACGGCATCGCCAACAGGATCGTACTTTTCCGAAGGTGGTTAACCAGCCATACCGGAACCACGAAACACAGGGTCCTGTGCAGCACGGAGGACTAACAGTAACACCGCCACGCCGGCAGCAAAGTTCATTTTGGTCCCCGCCCCGTTCCTCTTGCTTCTTTTAACTCCTTCCCCCTTTGCCCATTCTAGAACGGAACCCTTTTTTAATTCTTCCCAATAGAAACGTAGGAACAATTTCGTGAACGCAATCCGGAGTGCCCAACATGGCGGCGGCCGTAAGGTGCATGGGTAGAGGTAAGGCAGGGGGTTGGCTTGCAGGGGAAATGGCTCAGGCACCGAGTCTCTGGTTGCAGCAGAGTGCAAGGCGGATTCTGCTTTGGGTGTTGAAAATGCCTCGTGCTGTTTCTGGTCTCTAGGTTCTTCAAAGGGTGGGTCATTACTACTTAAAAGTGACCTTATGAAGGGTTTCACTCCATTCTGGAGACGTCCACCTTGAGGGAGGGAGTGGGAGCGGGATGTACACAGAGCGCTCTCCAGCCACCTATGGGGAAGGCAAGGACTGGGTTCTGTCTCTGATACTGGGGTGGGGGCTGCGGATAGTGGAGTGTGATAAGTGAAGTGAGTTCTGGTAAGGGAAAGATGATGTATTTGAGTGGCTTAAGTCTGTAAACTAGAGCAATTTTCAAAGTGCTTTTCGGTGCTTTCCGAATTAATCGTTATAGGCGATTCCAGTTCTTAAACTTCCATAGGTGGTTTAATTTGGATCAACGTTTATAATTTGAAGGCTAATTCTGTAGTACCTCCTGGTAGCGCCTATTTTCATCTTAATAATTTCAACTTTTTAGCTACGATAACAGCCCTTTTTCGGTGCAACTATATATATACTATATTGTATACATATACATTTAGTATATAGTATATACATACTATATAGCATATATATACTAAATGTATATTATTTCTGAAAGGAAGGTGAAGGCATTATCTTCCTGTATGACAGAAATCGTTATGTTAGAGAAATCCAAAGCTTTGCTGCCGGCGTGGCGGTGTTTTTTTTTATATATATATATATATTTTTTTTAATTTAATTTAAATTTTTTTTTTTTTTTTGAGACAGGTGTCTCGCTCTGTTTCCCAGGCTGGGTGTGCTGTGGCGCGATCTCAGCTCACTGCAACCTCCGTCTCCCAGGTTCAAGCGATTCTTCTGCCTCGGCCTCCCAGGTAGCTGAGACTACAGGCGTGTGCCACCACGCCCGGCTAATTTTTGTATTTTTAGTAGAGACAGGGTTTCACCATGTTGACCAGGCTAGTCTTGAACTCCTAATCTCAGGTAATCCGCCCTCCTTGGCCTCTCAAAGTGCTGGGATTACAGGCGTGAGCCACCGCGCCCGGCCTGTGCAATGCTTTTTGTTTTCATTTTGTGTTTTTGAAATCCAGTGATATCATATATATATGATATATGTATTCATATATATATGAAGTCCGGTGATTAATATATATATTAATTTAGGTAGGTCTTTAGTTAGAAGCAGTAGCCAGCATTACCCCCATTTTACAGAGGAAGAAACTGATCTTATTAGATATATGGCCAAGTTCATATAACTGGTAAATGGCAGAGGAAGTACTGAAGCTTGCAATGCTAGGTCAGTGATATATATATACATTTAACACTGCATCACGGGGTTTTTTTTTTTTTTTTTTGAGTTTCTTTGCAGGAAAACTGTGTCAAGAGAGTTATTGCTCAAAAATTAAGGGTGATAAGAGATAACAGACCCTGATGTCTACTATGTGAGCAAACCAAAATGTATATTATTTCTGAAAGGAGGTTAAAGGCATTATCTTCATGTATGACAGAAATCGTTATGTTAGACAAATCCAAAGAAACCAAAAATACCTGAATATTATAATTTTCTTGTCACGTTTTCTTTTCTTGGCTTCTAGGGTATCTCTCTGTTAAATTTCTTCCTATTTCTTGTGTCATTTTTTTCTCACATTACTTGGCTGGTTCCTCCCCTCTCCCTAGTCTCTTTACTTGGAGTGTTCTGGAAGCCAGGGTTCCCTCCTTCATTCTCATCTCTTCTGTATCTAAATTCACTCCTTTGTTAGCTCATCCAAATTTTGTGGCTTTGATTATTGTCTATCTTTTTTATTTTTTTAATTGTTTACTTATCAAGAGAAACTGTCTAGCCCACATATTCACATTTCATAGTTCAAGAACACAGGTCAGTGACAAACTTCTAGGTAATTCAACCCAAAGAAATTCTTTATATTGCAAAATCATTTTGTGCTCTGAAATATACCAGCTTTTCTTATCTCCTCAAAATCTTTTATGGAATCATCATTTCTGTAGAAATCTACGTATACCTTCTTTCTTGGCTCAGCCACAGCAAACATAGCTAAAACCCCCATGGATACAATCAATGCTTCAACAATATGAAATTGCAAATGCTTTGCCAGAAGGCCACGCATCTGAGGTTCGTTAAAGCACTGGAAGCCACGGTAGCTACTGTTCTTCTTAGGTATCAGCTTCAATACCAGCATTCTTCCTGGCTGTTGGAGAAATGGATGATCAATTATTGTCTATATCTTTTTTTTTTTTTGAACCACCCCGCCTGGCTAATTAGCCACCACGCCCAGCTAATTTTTGTATTTTTAGTAGAGGTGAGGTTTCACCATGTTGACCGGGCTGGTCTTGAACTGCTGACCTCAAGTGATCCACTCACCTCTGCCTCAAAAAGTGGTGGGATTACAGGCATGAGCCACCGTGCCCAGCCGATTATTATCTATATCTTAATGGTTATCAGATTTATATCTACAGTTGGGATCACTCTTCTGAACTTTAGATTCTTATACTCATCTGAGTATTCTACATCTCCACTTTGATAGCATATCAGCACCTTGCAGTTGTTTAAAATCAAACTCATTGTCATAGCCTGCAGTCTTTTTCTTCTCGTTTGAAGGCAGTTCTATGCTTCATTTGTCCAGGCCAAAACCTCAGAATATCCTTGACTCTTTTTTTTTTTTTTTTTTTTGAGACAGGATCTCACTGTATTGGCCAGGCTAGAGTGCAGTGGCCCGGTCACAGCTCACTGCAGCCTTGACCTCTGGGGCCCACTATGACCAGCCAATTTTTTTTTTTTTTGGGGTAGAGATGAGATCTCACTATGTTGCCCAGGCTGCTCTTGAGCTCTTGGGCTCAAGTGATCCTCCCAGTTCAGTGTCCTGAAGTGCTGGCATTACAGGCTCTGAGCCACTGCACCTGGCTGACTCCTCTCTGTATCTCACACTTTACATTAAATAGTTGCCAAATCCTGTTGGCTTTACGCTTAAAATAAATTCAGACTCTGACTTCTCACTGCCCCCACTGTGGCTATGTTGTTCCAAACCTGCTACCATCTCTCACTTTGGATTTCTCTACAGTCTACTCTCAATAAATAGTGAAATTTGTCCTTTAAGGACCTCAGTCATGTTACTCCTGTGCTCAGAACTCTGCAAAGCCTTTCCATTTTTCTAAATCCAAAGCCCTTAGAATGGCCTACAGTTGTGCTGTTCTTTTTGTTAGCCACTATTGATTGAGCAATTCAAATGTGGCTAATCTGAATTGAATTTGTCAAATATACATTAGATTTTGAGGGCTTAGCATTAAAAAAAAAAAA